AATGTGCTTCATTTTATCGGCGTAAATGTGGAAGGGTATATCGATTCATTGTTTAAATGACATTTAATGGTATTTGCTTCTTGATTCATGGTTTAAAACAACGCATTGGTAAATAAAGGAATTTATGTAGTATTTTATGAACTGTTTTTACTCCCCCATGGATCGCGGATCGAAACCATTAGTTGTTAATCGACGCCTTGTTTAAGTTAGAACATGATTACATGATATATACCACTACAGTTGAGTATGCAATATACTTTTGTGAGTAAATGATATATTTTGGATTATTTGGTGACATAGTTGCAACAGCTTGGTCTGGAAGTCAAGTCAGTTGTTCAAACATAACCTGCATTAAGTAAATTACTTATTCCTTTTTCACTCGTTGATGATATTTCACAAAAAATGCAGCAATATAAAGTTTTTAAATTAGAACTACCATCAAAAACATACTTGATGATGCATTGTGCTAATTGATCATGGGTCTATACATTGTTACATTCTTGTTTTAAGGGATAAAAGCTATGACTTTCTTCAAGAATCTATTCAAAAAGCGCAGGAAGTGGCCAACGACGTCTGTTTAAGGCATGACATGGTACATTTAATCATATATGTTTTGTATACATTCTGAAGTGACATTTTTATTATTTTTCTGACGGCCAAGTTGTTAATGCTTTTTACTCGTTTGCGGTTATATTGTAGATGCTTTGAGATTTTTTAAACTTTCGCTGCCTCCCCCAGATGCTCGCCTGAGGTATGAGTCAATCATTTGCTAGGGTACCAAATCAGTAACAGAAATGATTGTCTCGGACTGTAAAAGTGCATTGAACATAATACAGTTTTTCAGTTATATTTTAAGCATCGTTACTAGATTCTGATAGCCTGTGGTGTTTTTTCCAAGATTCATCCTTTGACTAGTTGTAGCCATGCATCTGCTGCTGTATATGACAGTCATTCCTCTATTAAATTGAACTGAGTAGGGGAATAACCAGTGAGTACCAAATGAAGCTTTTGATGGTGTACGGAAAAGGCCATTGATTCGAAGGGGCATTCCTGTAATGCTGGTAACTGATACCAAAAATTGATGCAAACAAATGCTACTAAATACGATATAATAAACAATATTTTGCTGCGTTTGACGTTGTCCCTGAAAACGGATCGAATGTGATGCGAAACATTGCATAATATGTCAATTAAAATTAACTCAAATTTACGTTTACACATTGTGCTGACGTGTGGTCAGCTGTCAGGAGGGTCAAGGGTGAATTGCAGCCGTAAAACGTATGCATCAGACTGATGTTTATTATTTGCAGGTCAGCGACCGTAGACCCGTCTTTCGGGTGGTTGCACCGAAGCACAGTTTAATGAATTCTGTGTTCAAGGGCATAAGCAGAAGAAAGAGAAGATTTACGGCGCGCAAGGGATTTTAACACGAACCTCTAAAATGCAAAGCAAGCTTCTAACCCAGTGCACCCGTACTCCATTTACATTATGTACTTCTATTCGGTTGCATTCTGTAAAGGATTTTTGTAGTTTTGAGCTTGACTTCCACATAAGAGATTTAGCGGTCATCTTTAGAGATATGTCATATATAACTTGACCTGAACAAACATGCAAAAGAAAAAAATCTTAGAGGTTGATTGAGCCTCGTTACGCTCTCTGCCAAAGAATCTGGTGTTCATCTGGCAAACAGATTATTAGGCGTCTGCGGAATGTACAGAATATTCATTCAATTCCCAAGCTATGTTGTTAAACTGAACAGACAGACTGGGCGTTTCTCTCTCTACACTGCCTGAGAAGCTTTATGTATTTGGTGCAACACTGCTCATTTGCAAGGCTCTGGGTGTTCAGATATCTGAATGGCAACTTTGCTACGCTCTCTTCGCTCAGTCCGTTGTCATGCACTGAGATGTTACCTGTTATGGGATGGCCTTGAATAAGAACAGTTAACGACGCCGAATATGTGTTCTCTGAATATTCTGAAATTTCTTCTTTCTGATAAGTTCATGATAGAGTCTGCGCGAGTCAGCAGTTAGCAGAGATATATTGATCCAGTCGAAAGTTCATAATTTTATTCTGTATGACTACTTGAAAAATACTTTTTTGCTCAAGATGTTTTATACTATGTTCTTTAATTCTTTTTATGTTGACTTTGTAGACCGAACTCTGTATCTTGCAAGACACTGACAAAACAGAAAAACCTGAAGGTCTTTCCCTGTTTGACTTATGGGTGGAACGCAAGCATAAGTCGCTTTTTCCGGTAAGGGATTTCCCGCTTGCATACATTCCATCATAGCTGCTTTTCAGGAGTTGTACTTTTTCTCGAGCATGGCGAAAATATATTCAGATTATCGCCGAGGCAAAAATGTAAAGAGGTGGGCATTTATTCCGTTTTTATCCATTTAGCGTGATGCATGTATTTTGTTTATTTGACCTCAAAGATTTTTATTCCTTTATCTGGAGATGAATGATGGTACCTTGGTTTAATAATGTTTGTAATGATGATGTGCTGGTGCCGCTAATAATCTTGATTACGATAATATAGTTGTCTGAACGATGAGGACAATACCGATGATTACAGTGATTATGCTGTTGCTAATGATATGACAAATTATAATGATGGCTATAATAATAATGGTGATGTTGATCAGTATTTTGTCTGAAAACTGCGCTTTTTAAAATCCATTACAATCCGCAATCGGTTGACCATAATTTTTTTAACAAAATGAGATAATCTCTGGAAAAGGTTGTACACAAGCGATTTTCTGACAGCGTCAGCAAGGTTTAATAAAATACTCGTCTTACCATTGGACACTGAAACGCAGTGGGAAGTGTTTACAGCAGCTACAACTACTTCTGCTTGATGCTGTGACTTAAAGTCGTTTGGCTGTCTGTCTTCATGTAAATATGCACACCTACCTTTACCTGTCATCATAAATGTTGGATATTGAGCGAAATATCTCATGCTGGCTACAGTTGGTAGATCAAAAGTTTCTTACAATAATTGCTATCGTCACTGGACTGGTCAAAGTAAAGAATGGCAAATTCGTAACCTTTGGGATGTCAGTCTTCCTTACACTTTCATGATGGAACCATTCTGTTGTCTTTCTTTTCATTACGTTGATCGTGGGGAGGTGGGCACTGATTTCCATTCCGATGCCATCAGTTACGGGCAAGCATAGTGTGTAGTCCCATGTTTTCTTTTACAGAGTGGTACTCATTAATAAACTTCGGAAGGAAAAAGGGCGAATGACCCTAATCGGGGTCGAACCCAGGAGCTCTTCGGTCTAAGTTCGACGTTATACAGACTGATCAACCCCGGTCTAAAGCTTCGTGTGGTAAATTACTTGCTAAATGAAATTCGCGGTTAAGATAAAGATTGACATCCTCCACACTTCGAAGCCGACCACTTACGCGCCGTACACCCATGCCACAGGATAGAGTTGGAGCTAGACAGAGTCCGGAATATTGCAGTTCGAGATGCAGTCGGTTGGTGGTAGCTTCTTGTGCAATGCAGTTTTTCGAGAATCGCAATTATTGTGATTTGACCATATATCGAAGATCGGACAGGAGTGGCTCCCCATGTGCACTCTTGGAAAAGCCAGATGAAGTACTTCCCAGGGAATGACCGCGGACCAAATGGTCATTTATTTTGAAGACCTCATATTGTCATGCATTCCTCGGAATCCAAATTCCGAAGCTTGTCCGTTTGATGGCAGACTTGGACGATTGGAAAGACCTTCTACAGCAGCTACTTCCATGATCTAAAAGGATTAACGACTGTGAGAGTGACGAATGAGTCTCCACCTAGATCCATCTATTGCTGCTATACCTGTTCTTTTCCAAAAACTTATGAGGGCTGGTATTTCAAACACGCACTACCGAATATTAAATTTTGTCCAGAGCATTGGCTACGAAACGCGTTGAGAATTAGATGATACGAACTATGACGAAAGACTTAATTTTGCATTGTATGATCTCAGAAATATCGGAGGAGCTCAGAGACAAAAGGTTTTCATGGTTTGATTGCCTGCAAGGAAGCAGGAAATTTTCACTAGTTTCTCAGCTGTTGACGTGGAAACCCAAACATTACCAGCATATCACGTGGAAACTAAATTAAATTTATTTTCGGTGTGGGATTTTCCTTCTTTAACACGATAAATAGTCTTGTTGTCATAATTCTAAACGTTGAAGTGAGCTGACTAATAGTTTTATGTAGCCCATTGTAATACAAAACGGCTGAAGTTGAAGCCCACTGGCACAACAGCGAAACAGACAATTGGCATTGTACTCTTTGCGAGCTGTTGTTATTCATTCATTACCTCCGTGATAATTTATTACTGTTACTGTTTATAGCATAATCGAGTCGTTATACGCCTTGTTGAGTAACGTGATCAGCAAAGATGCTGTCCAGTGGGCCTTCCGAAACGAAGCGACCTCTTTCGCAATTTCTTCGCTTTCTTCGCTTTTCCTTGAAACTGGTCATTATATGCAGTGTTCCTTGGAAGCACTGAAAGTTCTGTACACCGTGCAAGACGAATATTTACCATTTTGTGGTATAGCCTGTGAATCCGTTTGCATTGCTTTGTGCAACATCATCTTTTGCTTGCATGCTAAAGTATTTTTTAAACATGGCTTGTGATTCAGCGTTGTAAGTCTCATTATCACTTAGGGAGATACGACGGCAGCTATGCAACTTCTTAAATACGCGAAGTCTGAGTTTCCTTGCTACTTGGCCGTATCTGCTACGTGGAAAAGATGTGAGGCGTCGATCGGTTTCGAAGTAGCGTTCCTGCAGGGTCAGTTCGATCTGTGTAAAAATTGGTTAAGCAAGTTGATGGCCATCTCTCCCAATGAAGCACTCATCCGGTATGTGAGAATTCTGCGATTACGGTGTGTTTATGTTGATTCTAACGTTCAAGTTTTTTTTATAGAAAAAGTGCCCTGCAAATCGCAAATCGAAACGTAAAAGACGCGATGACACTGCTGGGAAAATTGGTCGAAAAGACGCAGTCGCCAAGTTTTCACTGTCGGTAGGGTTTGCAGTTTCTAGGAGTAAAATTCTGAAATGTTAAATAAGTTTTCACGTTTTATATCGACCTTTCCTGACTTCGTTCATCATGGACATAAATATTTGTTTCTGGTCTTTGCTTCAAGTCCATTGGAGTTTTCAAAGTTTTTAAGTACTCAACCATATCTTATTTTACATCAGTCTAACCTTACGCCTGTTCCGTGGAAGGACAGCGAGGGCTGCGTTTTTCACTAGCCAATGGGTTCACGTATCTGAGTGAAGTGCGGTGTGATATATTTTTCATAGGTTTCTTCATAGTTCTGAAACTTTTTAATGAATCCGTAATAAATCGTTCAGGTATTGGGAGGACAGAACTTCGTATACTGTTAAGCTGAAAGTTGCTTTATCTATGAATAACGACCAGTGGGTTGAGACCACGGCCCATATTTATTGCTTAAGAAAGCGTAATGGCATCTTTTAACATCGCCTTCCTGTCATCATCTTCACCATCTATAGCGGCTTCTCCTTTCTTGACTTGGAGGGATTCAGAGAGTGCTTTCCACGTTCCCGATCCTGTGCCAGAGTCTGAGCTTCAGCAAAAGACAACTGGAGTCTGAAGAAGACTCCTTCCATATATTTGCACCAGGTTAATTTTGGCCATCCTCTGGATGTTCTGCCGGTCTGCTGAGCAAGAAGCAGTTGCTTCACCTTTCGCAACACATACCCAAACCATTGCCCCTTTGACTTCTCAATCTGAAGAAGCAGCGGCTGTACACCAATTCTCTCATGGACCATGTCGAGACGCTCAAGGCCAGTGACTCGTCTCAGAAGGTCCATTTCAGCTCTTGTTCCCGAGATCGCAGTTTTCCAGTCATGGTCCACGAGTCACGACCGTAGATAAGCATGGGGATAAACGTCGACTTGAATACCAAGAGCTTGATTTTCAGATTCAACTCTGCTTTAGTCACAATGGTTCCGGCTAGTTCACGCAGAATGCCACTGACAAATCTAATCCGCCAGGCGGTCTTTTCTTCCCATTTCCCATCACTCTTAAACACGACTTCTAGGTACTTGTACTTCTCGAAATGCTCCACTGTTTCTCCATTAATCTGAAGAGAGTAACATGCAGAAAAGGAAGAAAGCACTAGGCTTTTCGTTTTGGATACGTTTACGCGCATGCCGACCACTTCATACTAGGCTACGAATCTTAACAGCGAGCGTTGTAGATGAATTTGAGAATATATCAACAAAACAAGGTCGTCTGCAAACAGTAACCTTCTCATCTTGACATTTTCTACGCTGATACACTCGTCACTATGGCTGTGCCTTGCTATTCCATCTAAAGGTAGCACAAGTAGAGGAGGGGACAGAACTTCGCCTTGGCGGAAACCAGTGATCCCGCTGAAAGGTTTCGACTTAATGCCATTTACACTGGCGCAGCACCTCTATCAGCATATAATGATTGGATAGCTCCTAACAACTGGCTATCGGACCCATATGTTCGCGGGCATCCCTACAAACTGTTGCGTGGTATCCGGTCATAGGTTTTCTCTAGGTCAAGGAGGCACATGTACACCGGATGGGCGAACTCCCACAGTTTCTCAACAATCAGGCTTAGAGCGAATATATGGCCAGAACTGCTTCGACCGGAGCGTAAGCCGTTCTGCTCTTCTTGTATCCTGGAGTTAGTTATCTCGCAACACCTTCTTTCTAG